CAGAGGAGAGACAGTCCGTGGCAGGGAAGGCAGGAGGGCATCGCAGAGGAGAGACAGTCCGTGGCAGGGAAGGCAGGAGGGCATCGCAGAGGAGAAACAGTCCGTGGCAGGGTAGGAGGTGGGAGCAGCAGCCTACCTTTGTTCTGTCCTTTTATATCCCATCCAGGCTACAAACCTATTGATTGGTGCCATCCACACCTAGGGCAGGGCTTCCATGATCCACACCCAGAACTATGCTAAGCCCATTTAGTTACCACACACTCTTAATCCCAGCATCACACACCCATGATCCTGCTACCTCCTGAAAGCCCCCCCTATGAGCACATGAGGCTTTGGGGAGATATGCAGACAAAGCCATAACAGGAAGTGTCTGTAGTCCCCACAAGTCTCAAAGGATGAGTGCTGGCTTACTGGGTGCTACCTTGCCGCTTCCTTGTCACAGTAACTGGCAGCTTCCTGCCCTCAGGAAGCTCCTTGGGGACAGAGACCACACCTTCTTCAGCGTCCACCCCAGCACTCAGTGGAGCAAGGATTTGATTTCACGAAAGAAGGAAGGGAGGGAGGAAAAGAAGGAAGAAAGGAAGACACTTTTGGAAAAGCTGGGGAGAATTTCATGATGAAATGACATGAGTGTCACATTTAAGAACTGAGTGTGGGATTTGAGTATGACACTGAAGGATGGATAAGCAATTGACAAGCCAAGTGGAGTGACTGCTAGAGATAGATTGTGCATGAGCCCTGCTTGTTTGCGTGTTTTCATGGGCACGAGTCCACGTTTGCAGCCAAGTGCCACGGGTCCTCGTGGGGAGTGGAATTCGTGGCTGACACATCTTTAACCGTGTTCATGCACATCCCTCCCTCCCCACCCCTCTGTCCCTCGGTCCCCTGCCCTTTCACCTGTATTGAGATGCGGTCCTTGTCCACCGCCACGGCCTCTACAGGCAGGAGCCAGCCTGGACCTCCAAATCAGAGGGTGTTTGGTCGACCTGGGGGCCGCGTGACTGCAGAGGCAGGGTGGGAGCTGGGCCTGAGCAGGCAGGCCGAAACCTTCAGGACGGAGACTGAAAGTGGATGCCACAGGGAGCTGGAGAATCTTCTCTCAGCACTGCAGCGATAGGACCAGGGTCAGGAGATTGGTCAGAAAGTGTTTTGCAGCCGTGCTGGGTGACAGGAAAGCAGAGGAGGGCAGGGGAGGGGCCGAGGTCTCTCCCCCGCTTTCTGACCTCCGACCCCACTTCCAGGTCCCCCTCTCCAGTGTTGGTGTGTTTAGTGTATATGCTGCCAAAGTGAGCATGATTTTCGGTGTTTTTGAGGCAGAGTCTTCCTATGTAGCCCAGGCTGGCCTCAAACTCACAGCAATCCTCCTGCCTCAGCCTCCAGAAGTACTGGGGTTACAGGTGTGTGCCCAGCTCCCCCTTTTCCTAGTTGGCTATTTGTCGCCCTATGCCCTTGCTGGCTGATTGTCCCCAGGTCCCACGTCCCCGAGGAGGGAAGAGCAGGGCAGCCTGGAGCCAGCGCCCTTGAACGGTGGGAGCCCTCAGGGCTGCCTCTGCCTCTCAGCAGCTGCTTTCCATTTCAGAAAGAGGCGGACAGAGGCCGATTGGGCAGAATTGTAAAAGTAGACAAAAAGGAGCGAGCGAGAGGGAGCGTGCACTGGGCCTGCAGCTGGGGGTGCTTGTGTTTGGGGGCAGTCTGTGGAAAGGGGGTCGGGTCCAGGAAAGGCGAGGGCCTGCGCGTGGGGTGTGGACTCACGACCTGCAGGAAGTTGCACAGCCCGGCCCGGCCCGGCCAGGCCCCGTGTGTCCCTGCCCTTGACTCACTTTCTGTGCTGACTCTGACTGTCCCGCCTTGGCCTCCCCTTGGCCAGCAACCCTGGCTCCTGCCGTGTGGACCGCTGACCTGTCTTGGGCCTCACCCTGCTCTGATCTCGTCGTTCAAGGCCCGGTGCCCACCATGCCCATGAAGTTTCTGGCCGTGCTGCTCAGGCCCGGCGACTGCTATCGCTGCGATGAGCCGGGCTTCTCACCCCACATCCGGAGCTGCTGGAACCTTGGTCTTCCACAGGTCTGGGAACGGCGATGTGGGGTGAGTGAGTGAGGGGCCAGCCCCTCGAGCTGTATCTCCAAGTGATTCTCACACCCCAGCTTCAGGCTAAGTTGTTCACCTGCAGAGGTCTGCAGAGGAAATTTTCTGTGGGATTTGCATTTTCTGTGTTCTGTGATAAAAAAAAATATGGCAAATGGTTAAATTTTTCTTTCACTACAATGGGAAAAGACACATTGTCAGGAACACTGGGGCTAGGACACGGTGATGTCGTAAGGCCGCGGTCCTGGCTAGCCGCCCCAGGCAGCGTGGCCTTGCATGGATTCCTTCCTCCTCGGCACTCTCTAGGGTCAGAGAGCTGGAGCTGCTGGCTGGAAATCCAGTGCCCCTCCTGCGACACCGGGCCTCGGCTCGGGAGTCCGGGAGTCCGGGAGTCCGGGGCCGCTGGCCCTTGTCCCCTGGGCGCTGTTGCCCCAGTGCGAGCTCTGGGCAGTTTTCCTTTGGCTCTGGTGCTCATGGATTCAGCCCTGACCTGCGGCCTGCTTGTTGTGCTGTGTGCACTTCCGACCCGGGACCTGCAGGCCCTTCTTTCCGTCCTGTGGTCTTTAATTTGGCTCTGGTAACAGGAAGCTCCGAGCCAGACCCTGTGTCCTCCGGGGACTCCCGCGTCCCTGTCCCTGCCCTCGCCCCGCTCCGCACTCTGCATCTTCACTGTCTGTCACCTGATGGTTGAGATTGAGCTCTCAGCGTGGAGGTCACATCCGTTCTGTCCCTCGTCTGTGTCTGTGTCAGCGTAGAGGTCCAGGGCAACGCCACGTTCCCCGGGCTCCTCACCCCAGATTGGGTTGCGGCGCTGGTCAGCGTCGGTGCCGGGTCCGACCCAGTGAGGGTGGTGCCGGTTCTGTTCTCTCATCCTGCGTTCTCAGCAGCGACGCTTTGTAACCCTGTGTCCTTGCTTCACATTGCCAATAAGATCCGGGAACTTCAGACTTTCTTCACGTTCCCTGCCCGTGAATTCTTTTCTTTTTTTTTTTTTTTAAAAAAACATTATTTTAAAATTTTGGATACAGTTTCATTTTTTTTCTTAACAAGTCTACTGCTTAATCTCTCAGGATTAAAAAAACCAAGATTCTAAAGAATTAAACAACAAAGGAATGTCAAAGGAAGGGCACAGCCGCCTCACTCTCAGGTATAAGAGCTATGCCGATTAATACCTAGCTTCAAAACAAAACGAATTTTTATATTTTCTAAATGAATAATGTACAACCACCATCTTCATCGAGGCTTGTTAGAACTTTCAAACGCAAAGCTTCATTTTAAGCTTAGTAAAAAGCTTAAGAGGAATGATGGCTGACCTTAGTGTGTAGTGTGTACGTCACAGTAAACTTTGTTAACAATCAGAACACAGTAACAATGCCATTCATACTGAAGTCCTCAATTTAGAATCTGGAACATTCTTCCATCAAGGGGGGAAGGGGAAATTCAGTCCGATGAGTCTGTCTCAAGATCTTCATCTCGTTTGCTCCACTTGTATTCTCTTTTCAGTAACTGGATTAATGCTTTGAGCCCAAAGTGAGATATATTTTTTATTACTGTAGACTACATGTTTGGTGCTCAGTTTCCATTTGTTCCTCTTGTTAGCGTTTTCGGTCTGTGGCTCCCTTGTCCTGTTGACCTTTCAGCATATTCCTCCTCTGAGCAGTCTGGAAGTTTCTTCCACCCTTTCTCTTCTTTTCACCTTCTTGGTCATCTCCCTCTTCTTCAGAATCAGAGGTTGATGTGACCCCTGTTTTAGCTACATTTTTCCTTTTTGATTCAACTTCTTTCTTGCCCTCTTTTTTGTCTGGCTCTTTCCTTGGTTTATTTCTTCCTTCTGGCCCTCTTCATCCTTTGGAGGCTGCTTTTTCGGTTGTTTTTCCTCTTGCCCCTTTTCTTACTTTTGTCTTCTTCAGCAACCGTGTCCCTCTGACGGGCAAGGCTGTTTTGCCGTTTGGGTCTGCCTCGGTTTCGGAATCGACTCCTGCAGCTGCAGGTCGTCCTCTCTTAGGATTCACTTTTAGGTGAACACATGCTGTTGCTGGTGTCACTGCTCCTGCCTCCTCGGTGTCTACTTTTTCTGCCTTTCTCTCTCTCCCTCTTCTGGCAGCTTTTGGGGTGGTTATGTCAACTGCTTTAGTCATGTCCTCCCTGCTTGCTTTATTCTTCATGATCACTGCCTTCCTTTGAAACACTAGTTTCTTTTTCTTCAACTTCAACATCAGATGATGCATTTGACTGTTTAGGTGATGCCTGTTGGCTTGAAAATTTCACTTTCGAATTGTTGTCTATCTCCCATAAGCCTTCATTAAAATCTTTTCGTTTATTTGGTTTACCATACTTTTCCTTATTTTCTGAGTAAGGAAATATATCCTTTGGTCCTAAAAAAGCAGTCTCATGAGTCCCAAAAAAGAAGATGGGCAGTTTGTTTGTGGGCGGCTTTACAGCCCCATCAGGGACTTCATCTACTCGAGCTGGCCAACGAGGGTAACCTTTCATCTTGGCGAAGATGAGGTCTCCAGGTTTGAAATCGCGAGTCATGTTTCGGGAGTGAGGCTGGGGTCTCGAGCCCAGGAGTGCTGCGATGGTGCGCAGCAAAGGGATGCAAGGCGCGGAGGAGCTCGGGCTCCTGGGCCGCGCGGGGGAGGACGCCTTGGGGCGCCGGGGCTGCTGTGGCGGGCCTGCCGCTCTGCGCGTCCACGCCGGCTACCTGCGCCACCAGCTGCCGCAGAGGGGTCTCAACAGCTCCAAACACAGCTGCCACCGTCGCTATGCCGCAATTCTTTTCATTTTAGTATAATCGTTTATTAACAAAGGAACCCTCAGGTTCAAGCAGGAGTACAAAGTATGGTCTTTCTCGTGTTTTAAACGATTGCACTTTAATTGAAAATGTAAAAGCTCTCAGTGAACTTACCAAAACCCGGACCCGGGCCAGCTGAGCTTCTTGCTGTGCAAATAAAAGACACGAAAAGGAAAGTTTGACCAAGGGAAAGGAGGACAATGCACATTTTTAATTTCAAACTTTTCACCTCAAAAGAATTCCAAGGCCACGTTTCCCCCGAAACCGCACAAAGTGTGTGGGGCCAGGCAGGGAGAGCAGCTGCATTCTGACCATAGCCTGGCTCGCCCCGGCGGGCACCTGTCCCCCTGCTGCACTGCTGCTGCCTGTAGGTGCCGAACCTCCCCGTCTCCGTGTCCCTGCAGGCCAGGCTTTGAGTGTGGGCACCCGGGGTGACTCAGTGGCACAGCATGTACCCCAGGTTCGAGCCTCGGCACTGGAACAGGATGGGGGCCCAGGACCAGGACCTGCTCCACATCCGGCACCTGTCCGACCCCAAGCCTGCTGTGGCCCTGGGCCTGACCGGCTGCTGCTCTTTTCCTACCTGCTGTGCAGGGTGGCAGGGGCAGTGCAGAGGGGCTCTGCGGCTCTGTAACCCCACAGCCCTTCCCTGTGATCCCAGCACGGAGGGAGGCTGAGGCAGGAGGTCACAAGTTCCAGCCCAGCTGCACCTGCCTTGCAAGCGCAACGTCCTGAGTTTAATCCCTGGTACCAAAAAAGACAAAATACATGTTAAACTATGTGCTGGACATGAATAGCCGATTGTTGGTCTTTGTCTTGGGGCCCTTGAAGCGCAGTTCCCTGCTGTTAAACCTCTTAGTAGCATCTATTAGACTGCAGATACCTAGATTGCAGCTTCCTCGGTTTACCCTGGACACTTTCCAAAAGCAAACTGAGCATGCGAAGCACAGTCAGACCCAAGCACATGGGTGCTGCACACTGAGCGCAGCTGCACACGGCAGGGAAGTCTGCCCTTTTTTTTTTGTGGTACCAGGCATCGAACTTGGGTCCTTGCGCTTTCGAGGCAGACAGCGGAACCACTGAGCTAAATCCCCGGCCCAGAAGTCTGTTCTTTTTCTCTCTCTTTTTGGTACTGGGGATCAAACTCGGGTCTTTGTGCTTGCGCAGCAGGCAGCGAAACCACTGAGCTAAATCCCCGGCCCCCCGAAGTCTGTTCTTATACACAATGATAATGATCCACGTTAATAAAAACCATAATTTACATACACACACACACACACACACACACACACACACACACACACACACATTGCAGCCCAGCCTGGGTAAATTAGAGAGACTCTTTTGATAAAAAATAAAAAGGCAAGGATGGAGCTCAGTGCAAAGGCCCTGGGGTGAGTCCCCAGTGCCACACAGCCCTTGCCTGGTTGCTTGGTGGCTATGATCCAGGGTGGCCATGCTCATGGCAGATGACTACTCTCACCCCCTCCAGCTGCACGGGCCCCCAGACCCATGTCAGTGCCCCCACCCCATCTCCTCCCCTTCTGTTTTGGTGCTGGCCGGGGGAGTGACCCCATCGGCTGGGTCAGTTCTCACTGTCTCCTGGCCTGGAGTTTGTCGTGTTTCTCTCGCGTGAGTGTGTCAGGCTGCTTTGTAAAACTGAAAACCATTTCACATGTTTAGGAAGTGGCCCAGTTCCGCGTGTCAAAGCTGGTGCATCTTGGTCTCATTTTAGAGGATTAAATTAAAGAAATGAAGACGTTCAGTGCACAGATTTTGGGTTTGTAAGACAACCATATTATTAAACGTTTTTTAGGGCCGGGGATTTAGCTCAGTGGTTTCGCTGCCTGCTGCGCAAGTGCAAGGACCCAAGTTCGATCCCCAGTACCAAAAAAAAACCAAACAAACAAAAAGTTTTTTTGAGGCAGTGGAGGGCCTGGCACACACTAAGCACACTTCCAGCACTGAGCCACACCCCAGCCCTGTTGTTAAGCTTTCATCAGCTGTACAATAGGGCATGGTGGTGCACTTCCCAGCACTCAGGAGGCTGAGGCAGGAGGATCGCTCTGAGCTCAAGGCCAGCTGGGCTACATAGTGAGTCCCTGTCTCAAAAAGACTTTTAAAAAGACCTCTGTAGCATCGAAGGACTTGTGATGTTCACCAGGTCATCTCATTGTTAGCAAATTCAGTTTCCACAGCTGCTCTCTCACAGAGGACTCGAAGTCACACAGATAGTGGGATCCCTGTCGGCGGGGTCTAGGGCCTGGGCAGAGAACCCGACAGACATAGCGCAAAGCAGGCGTCTCCAGAGAGCAGCCCGTGGCTGGAAGAGGGTTGGGGGAGAAGCCTCGGACAGCGTCCTGCACGCTTACCCGATGCCTGCCCTAATGCGTCTGGCTTCTGTGTCCCAAAGGTGCAGAGCAGCCGGAAGGGGCTGCTCCCGGAGCCGAGCCCGGTGCAGGTCATGAAGGGGCTGAGCAACCCCGCCACGCTGCAGGCGCTGCTGTGCGGACGGGCGGCCAAGCCAGGTGAGCAGGGCAGGACACAGCCACCCCGTGTGCCACGCGAACGGCTGACCCGGACACTGCGTCGGCCTGCAGATGTGTGATCTTTCCAGGCCCATGCATGAGTTTGAACCCATGATCTGAGACAGTAGTGTGCTCTGAGTTTTTTTTTTTTTGGTACTGGGGATCGAACTCAGGACCTTGCGCTTGTGAGGCAGGCGTGGAACCACTGAGCTACATCCCAGCCCTCCAGTTGAATTCTTTACGGCACAGTGCATTCATAGCAAGCATTTCGGGTGATCATCAGTTATCTCTGCATGTGGTAAAATGCAGCGAGGGGATTTCTGACTGGCCTGTGCATTCAGATCCCTTCTCCAAGTGTCATGAAGCAAGGATACCCTTCCTGCCTTGACACACGGAGACTCAGAAAGTCATTATTTCCTGAGACAACTGTGCCGTAGTTTGATGATTTTAATTATGAGCAGGAGTGAAGGTGGTCATTTTATCACAGTTCACCCAGAGGATGCAGCAGGCTTAAATGCTTGTGCACCAAGGAACAAACCTTCCAAATATATAAAGCAAAATAAACAGCACTGAAAGGCAAAGTGGGTCAGTCCGCAGTTAGAGGGAGTGAGTTGGCTGCACTAAGTGCAAGAGAAAAGAAAGCCCAGGGTTAGCACTCATGGCAGAAGGGGCTGCAATTAAAGCAACTTCCAGGACTGAATCACAAGGAAGGAGCGGTCACTTTTGACCACTGCCGGGGTCAGGGTGTCATCAGTTCTCTGATAAACTGGTTAAAAGTCTAAGGGAATAGTCCTTCACCCTTCTGGGGCTGTTCTGTTAAGTTTTTCTGTGTTTCCTCACAGCAGTTCTCGGAGCACCCCCCAGCCTGCCGCAGCTGCTGAGCCCCCCGGCCCTGCGTGCATTCTTACACCTGAGTAAAGCACACCAGGTACATGGCCACGGGGACCCCGAGCCACACGGGTCTGGAGAGAGCGGTTCATTTGTCCTTCACACTCAGAGTTCTCAAGAGCGCTGGTTATTTTGCTTTTAAGGAAAATCTTTAAAAAGTGTACGTAGCTACTTAAAATCGTAGCTTGGTAAGTATCAGATCCAGGTGAGCTAATCAAAGCGCATAGTTGTATTTATTGGTTCCTATTTGTAAGGCATTAAGAGAAGAGGTACATTTTGTGGTATAGTTCTGCTAGATAAATCAGTAGTTCAAAGTAAGAGCTTTTATGAGATGTTTACTCAAAAAATATTTATAGGGTTGGGATGTGGCTCAGGGAGGCCTGGGTTCATCCCCAGCACTGCAAAAAAAATTATGACTCAATAAATATATAAGTATATATAACTCTAACATTACAATTTAAATGTGTTATGAATATCCATGATATTGGAAATAAAATTGCCCATTATTTTCAGATACTGTTTAAGGCTATAAAGTCCTGTTTCCAAACCCAAGCTGTCTAGAGCGATGCTTGATGCAGGCTCAGTGGAGGAGCACGAGGCCCCAGGTGCAGCCCCTAAAGGGCCGCCCGGCTTGCAGTGCTGAGCTCCGTCCCCTGGAGACCCGGGGCTCCGTGGGGCCTGTTCCACGCCCACTCGCTCGTCTTGTTGAGGCCCTACCGCACCTCCTCCGTCCCTCGTGGCCTTTGCTCCTGACGTGCCCTCCGCCCGGAGTGTCCCACCTGTGGCATACCTGCTTTGCGTCACCTCTGCACCCTACGCCTTCACGCCCGGCAGGGACCTCGTTCCTCCGGGAGACGCCCTGGTCACCCGGTCTCCGGCCCTCACTGCCGCGTGTCCTTGTAGCCCCTCCGTTCTCAGAGCCTCCTTGATTGTCAGCCCTCCCTCCTCGTGGGCCCTAAGACCCACCTGCTGGAGTTCTTGCTCTGCGCCCAGCCCCGGGCTCCCAAAACGTGCTGAGCGATCAGGTGAACCTGCTGTCTGGAGAGGCGCCGGGCGGGGCAGGGCCGATAGTGGGGTGGCGCTGCCCGACCGCAGAGCCTTTGCCGCCTGTTCCCGAGCGACTGGCCCGGCCGGTGGCTTGTGCTGAGGAGCTGCTGTCCTTTTACGGATCTAGAGCTTGGGGCTGGGTTGTCCGTCACGCGGTCGCCTCTCCCACTCCACAGAGCCCGTTCCTGCAGAGCCTGCCTGCCCTGCCTGCCGCAGCCCTGGCGCAGCCGCAGCTGCTGAAGCTGGAGGGCGTCGGCGCCAGCAGCGTGAGTCGGGCTCGTTCCGGGCCCCGGCCCTGCTCAGCGTGTCTGCCCTCTCTTGCAGAAGCCTGGCCTGCTCGGGGACCCCCCGGGCCTGGTGCTGCAGACCGCGCTGGGGATGGGGCCGGCGCTGCCGCTGAAGACGGAGCTGGGACCCCCGGTAGAGGCGCCCGGAAGCAAACGTGTGTGGTGCCCGCGGGAGAGGGTTTGCGGAGCTGCCGCCGCCTCGGGGGTCGGGGTCCAGTTTGCCGGCAGTCGCGTCCCCAGCTGGGCAGAGCCCCGGCTGCGAGCAGCGGCTGTGGGCAGCGCGCGGGCCCTTACCGGCGGTTCCCAAAGCGCCCTCAGCGCAGGCCGGCAGAGCAGCGCTGCCTCGGAGCCCCAGCTCGCAGCAAGCGAGCCTTTTTTGGGTCTTTTGAGAGAAGTAGGAAGATGGCATTGCACCGGGGTTTCTTGTGTGAGTGTGATTTTTGTTTTTCAAAAGGGTTGACGTGTTTCTCGGTCCGTGCTAGTCGTGCATCGTGTGTGCATCCTTGTGGCAGCGTGCGGAACACTCCCAGTCTCCTTTCTCCTCCCTCCCTCCGCCTCATCTCTTGGCCCCTCCCCTTTTTCCGAAAGATCTGTCCCCGTTTTCGATTTTGCTCCTTAATTTATTTACAGTTTGAGTTCCTCGTGTGAGAGAAACCATGTGATTTTGAAGCTTGTGTGCCTGATTTATTTCACTTCTCCAAGTGCATCCACTTTCCTACAGATGGCTCGTTTATCCTTCTTTGTGGCAGAGTAGTGCTCCATGGTGTGTAAATACCACCTTTTCTTTATCCATTCATCTGCTGGTGGACCTGTCAGCTGCTTCCAAGATTTAGCTGTTATGAATTGTGCCGCTATAAACACCAGTGTGCATGGATCACTGTAGTATGATGTCTCTCTTGTGGATTGAATGAGATTTTTGAAAGGCGCTTTCAGTCTGAAGCTTAGATGAAAACATTCTTACACATGAATCTACTCAGGGAAAACAAAGCACCATCAGTAATTTAAAAAGCCAATTAAATATGAGTACCACACTTAGCCTTTTGTACCAAAAACCAACTAGTCACATGACCAAGTAATTAGTCCACTGTAACTGTTAAAATTGACCAGGCCAAAATGAAAACAGTGAAGAGATGTTTATGGCATAGTAAGGTCTGTTCTTCCAAAAAATTAAATTTTCTGTGGCTGAAAGTTTATCCAAAATATTTACTTGTATTAAATAATAAAGTTTACCATGGTATGTGCTGCTTTAAGGACACTGAAAATTCAGCGTCCAAATAAATACATCAGTAAAAGAACAACCAAAGAATCTACCTCTAAATTTTTTTTTTTTTTTGGCACGGGGATCGAACTCAGGTCCTTGCACTTTCGAGGCAGGTGGCGGAACCACTGAGCTAAATCCCCGGCCCTACCTCTAAATGTTTAATACTAAAAGTTACTTAAGAAATTTGTTTCCTGAATTTGTTAAATGTAAATTTAACTTAATATAGTTATCAAAATTAGCTCTTTTAATTTTGACATGTGGATTTTTAAAAATTGGAATGGTTCCAGATTTTCCTATTGCAACTTTAATTTCTTTCAGAATTTCTTATTTTCTGTAAATAAAAACAAACTTTTACATTTTTAGTGTTTGTCCATTTAAAAATACTGATAAATAAAAATAAACCAGCAGTCCGCTGGTGTTTAACAAGCAGCTCTCTAGTGTTAAAAACAAAAAGCCTTGATATGCATCAGTTTTGGATTTCTGGGCTTATAATTCTCCAACTGTGGCCAACTTCCGGTTACCAGTGTGGAGACTGAACAGGATTGGGTAGGGTAGGAGAAATAAGACAGGTAGAAAGGAGACAAAGAAAATTGTACTTTACTTTTGGGGCCGGGGATTTAGCTCAGTGGTTCCGCCGCCTGCCTCCCAAGCACAAGGTCCCGAGTTCGATCCCCAGTACCAAAAAGAAATCGTACTTTTAAGAAAAAGTGCAGCTTCAGGACAGAAGTTATTTAAGCATTTTTCCCATCCAGGAAACTCGGTCCAAAGAAAAGAGGCCAGCCTGAGGGCCTGAGGCCCCAGCAGGCCTGTGACTATCAGGGGCCTAGGGAACCAGATCATCCTAAACTGCAGCCTTGTGCTCTGGCTGGCATCCTAACCTGGCCCTGGCAGTTGCCCGACAGACAGTGGGGTGCACAGCAGGCCCCCAGGAGACCCTAGACCTCATAAAGCCCCAGGCCCTGCTGCCAGCACCTTTCTCCCGCTTGAGAGCCCACGCCCTGCGCTGAGTGTGAGCTTTTAGAATTCATTAGGCCTCCTCATGCCCTCTGCTCTCAGGTCTTGCAAACTCTGTGAAGGGAAGTCAGTGAGCCTACAGCTTCCTCCACGGGCAGGGCGAGTGGGGCTCCTCATCTCCTTTTGGGGACCCCCATCCGGTGACCCCGAGTTGAGACAACACAGGCCCACTCGGCTCCAGGTGCTGGTACGAACCTCCTTGCTGGCCTTAAGTGTCAGGCGGCTTGTAACGCTCAATACTTACTCAATTATGGCCTCCAAATGTAGAAGCAGACGAATTGCAGGGCCGGGCATTCCTAAAGTCTGAATGTAATGTGAGGGGAGACCAGTGGAGCTAGGGGAGCTGCGGTATGGATGTAGACTAATTCCCCAAGATGAAGGTAGTTACTAGGTATGGAAACATCTACTACTGCTATCAAGAAACAGTGACTCCACCCTGGGGACACCCACTGCCCATCAACAGTGGGGCAGATTATGACCACCTGGCACAACAGAGAGACAATCTCCCAGAGCCGTGTGAACGAACACAGCACAGCTGCCTGGCCCCGTGTGGGTGAGAGAAGGCAGAGGAGGCAGAATGCATGCTTCTGCTTAACTACAGTGTAAAACCAGGCAAAGGTAGTCACTGCCCCCAGAAGTCAGGGAGCAGCAGAACCTGGGCTGTGCCGGGACAGAAATTTGGAGGTGGCTTCTGGAGAGGGCACAACTCTGCTCACGAAGCCTGGGCGTGTGGGTGTGTTCTGCCTGCAAACGCAAGGGATCCTTGGTCTGACCCTGCGGGCTTTCCCAGCTGAGTGTGCAACAAGTTTGTGTACAGAAACACACAGATAAGTTACATAGGCTTCTAACGCCTGCAGTTAAACCTTGCAGTTAAACAATCCCGTATACTGAGATTACCCTAGGAGACACTGAAGATGAGAACAGTATTGCTGCTGTTGGAGGCTGTTGACACTGGGGCTCCTAGTCCTGTAGCCTGGACAGACGGTGTCTCTCAGTGTGCGCGGGCGGGGGGCGGGGGACGCCGTCAGAAGGCGCGTCTAACCAAGCCTGCTTCTCCCTGCCCCGACAGCCCTGAACCTGGTTCCGACTCCGGCGACCATGCCTGCTACTGTGGGGCTACTGCCCTTCTTCCCAGGCCAGCGCAGCGTGGGACCGGCCAGCCTGGGCCCCAGACAGGAGCAGCACCCGGTCGCCCTGGGCGTCGCAGAAGGGGGCTTCTCGGGTCCACAGCCGCACCTGCAGAGCTTCGCTAGCCTTGCTGCCGGGGGCCTGCTGGCCGCACACTGCGGGCAGCGGCATAGCCAGCTGCCAGAACCGGGCTCAGGGGTAAGGACGCAGGCGGCACCTTGTCCGCGGTGGTCCCCTAGGACCACAACCCGGTGACCTTCTGACGGGACAGCGTTTCGTAGAGCAACCTTCACTTTTTAAAGTTGAAAGGAAGCTAATAGTACACTTAAAGTCTAGAAATAGGGATCACAAACTAGATCATTGCTGTGTCCGGGAAATGATGCTTTCTTAGTAGTTTCCTTTTCTCCCTAAATATTGAAGACAGCATTGGCCTTTTTTTAAAAAAAGCAAGGACCCTGTGTTACAAACATGCACCAGATTTCTTGCAGATGGGAAGGGAATGAAGCGATGGAGGGAGGGAGGCGGAGGGGACGCAGGAAGATGAACATGTGTCACTGCGTGCACAGCTGCCCGGGGAGTTTGAGCACAGTGTACGGCAAACTCGTGCCAGCAAATGGAACCTGAGAGAAAAAGTGACAGGCAAACCAAAGAGTCTGTCTGTTTCTAAGTTTCACCAGCTGACAATTGGTGCTAGCCCTGTACTGAGTCCTGTCTTATTTTTAAATGTTTACGATCTGAGAGTAAAATGAAGAAATTTCACCAGGACAAAATGAAATACACTAAAGCATCAGAGCATGCCTCCAAACCTTTATCTGTTAAAGAAAGGCTGGAATCCTTATACCTAACTAGTTGTGGGGAAATACAGGACAGGATGTTTTGTTTTGTTTTGTTTTGGTACTGGAGATTGAACTCAGGACCTTGCGAGTGTGAGGCAGGTGCTGGAACCACTGAGCTAAATCCCCAGCCCAGGACAGGATGTATTTTGAGGAACTGTGAATTTGTAGCCTTGTCCCTGAATGTAGAGTTGGAGTTTATTAAACGCACCTGTTTGGCTTGGCCTTATTTTTAGAACCAGAGATAAATAAGCTTTCCTCTGACCTTTGGTTGTGCCCATCTGATGTAAAATAAAAATCGTAATAATAAATGTTGATGACTATTTCTAGAAATGAGATTTGAGATGATTTTTTCCAGTGAAGATGAACTCTTTCAGCTATAAGTGAGAAGACTGTAAAGATACCTTTACCTCTGTTTCACTTCTAAAGTTCTCTGGTTCTAGAATAGTTTTTTTTAAAAAACCGATTGAAAAAGTAACAGGTGAAATGTGATAATTGTAATTTTTAATCAACTTCCCTAAATATTTCATGAGTGTGTATCGTTGGAGGTTAGGTCACACACACAGTTATCACACAAGACTGGGTGATTGGCAGTGAAGCGTTTCTCTGCCCTTCAGCATCTTTCACCTTTTGTTCTTGATGAACAGGCTGCCTCTAAGAGTCAGACCTCGCTCCTGGGAGAACCCCCAAAAGAAATCCGGCTCAGCAAGAACCCGTATCTGAACCTGGCCAGTGTGCTGCCTGGGGGCTGCCTGCCATGTAAGTGGGGCTTGCGGATCCCCCAGGATCTGGAATGGGTTTTCATTCGTAGATTAATGGAAGCAAATGATGCCTGTCCACCAAAGTGAGCCCCAAATCAAGACCCCACTCTTTAAGTGGAAAAATCCTAATTAGAGTTAAGACTCTTAAGTACACACTATTCTATTTAAGGGAAACACCTTTAATAGTATTTTCTCAAGAATATGACAATTTTATTGAATTATTATTGAATCATGATGGAAAATAATGAACTTATTTGGCAGTAATAAGTAATATGTAATTCTTACATATTAGAAACATTTTTCTGAACCAAAGATAAATTCTTCTAAATCATCTAATATATCCAGAGTATTTGGGTGCCCTAAAATATCTATTAGGGAGCAGAAATGGAACTGTCATTACTTTTCTGGGGCCCTATCCCTAGGCCTTTCATTAGTATACATCAAGTATTCACTCAATTACATTTTTTTTTTAAATCACAAATGCAGTCTGCCATCGGTACAGTGACATGTGCTGCAGCATTTGTTCTCAGTAGTGAAAAACTAGAATCCATTTTTCCCCATAAAATGGAACACTATGACTTTTTCTAAATAATTGAAGGATGTCTACAGTTCAATCATTAAGAAGTTGCACAGTATTCTATTTTATGATGAACTATTTATGAAGTCTCTAAAGCACATTTTTCAGTGGAAAAAGCAAATGTATGCGCACAACAATTCCATTGCATTCATTTGGAGTTATATATTGTTACATGCACGTATGTAACTATGTAAATGCTTACAGTAAATCTGGGGACACAAATTCTGAACTGTTAGCTCTGGGTAAAATAGGATGGATGAAAAGAGATTAAAGGTGGATTTTGTTTTAATGGACATCTGTATTTTATGAAGTATCATCTTGAGCCCAAACATTAATTTGCATTTTGAAAAGGCAGAACAAAACTTAAATATGCTTTTTTTTTTTTTTGGTACTGGGGAATGAACACGGGACCTTGTGCTTGCAAGGCAGGCGGCAGAACCACTGAGCTAAATCCTTGGCCCTAAATTCCCTTTTAATATAATACCATACGTTGATCTGGTCTCAAAATCGATGATGATGACAACTATTGCATTAGCAAGAATGTTTGTTTTTTGGATGCCTTATTTTAGAAATTAGACATATTTAAAAATATTTCCATAATTTTTTATCCATACGGTGAGCTTCCATTTTTTGTTTTTCCAAATGACTAACGCAGTGTCATGTGCTCTACGTGATTACTCCGGTGGCAGATAAATATCTGTATGCAGTGATAACCTGAGCCTTGTGCTCTGGGTGAGAATCCCTGCGTCCTTGAGTCGGGCATCGTTCGCGTTTGTAGCACAGTAACCTGAGTCGGTTCCTTTCCCCCCAGCTGCTGCGGGTCAGAGCACCCTGCAGAAGCCTGGACTCCCGAGCACCATCCTGGATGCCCTCGCCCAGGGGACAGCGGGGTCCGCGCTGGAGAAGTGTGTGGCTTTATCTCCGCCCTTTGGGGGCTCCACCCAGGTACGTGGGTCTCAGGCTCTGAGGAGATTCAGGAAAACCGCTCTGCCCTCGGAGCTCCGTGACCTGTTGGTACTCGCCTTGGAGCCTACCAGGGCGCAGCTCCGTACGTGGGCGCCTCCTGCTCCCACTTGAACTAGGGAACGGCCACGAGGCGGGGTCGGGTCGTTTCGCACTGTAGGTACCTGCGCATGCGCACAGGCCGGCCGGCCCACACCGGCTTGGTAAATAGCGTTACTGGGGGCCGGGGATTTAGCCCAGTTTAGTTCCGTCGCCTGCCTTGCGACAGCAAGGACCCGAGTTCGATCCCCGGTACAAAAAAAAAAAAAAAATAGTGTTACTGGGACGCGGCGCTGATTCCCCTGCTTCCCCTGCCGCGGCCAGGCTGCAGTAAAGGACGTCGGTGCCACAGCCGAGACTCGGTGGCCTCCGAGGTCAGGTTTTGCCATCCGAGCCCGCCGCGGGGCAGGCCTGGGCCCCGCAAGAGGCCTGTCCCTATCACGCGACGGGCGCAGTGATGACCCTGGTCACCCTAGGGCACCCGGAGACGCGCCGGCCTCGTGCACCCTGATGCATGCCTTGCGGTGTGGCCCCGGCTGCGGCTGTGCTGGGAGTGAGGCATGTCCTCCGATCCGGACGGCCAAAGCTTGTGTGCGTGTTCGGGACGGACTCGGCTGCCTTCAGATACTCACCGTCTTGGGGGGCTGAACCCACGATGGGGGACTGGGGAGGTGGGTGTGTCAGGACTTGAGTGTGTCGGCTTCAGCTCCTTCCTTGAGGCTTCAGGCGAGGGCCATAGCTCCTCGTCAGCACAGTGTGATTATGTAATCCTCAAAGTCCCCCCCGAGTGTGTCCGATTGTTTCTTAGAAAGCAGCTTCTCAGCTCTGAGCCGTCTAGGGGGACCGGGGCTCCTCTCTGATCCCCTCCCAGCGACTGCGTCTGCCTCCTCGTCTCTGGCACGCGTAGAAAGGAAATCCCACGTGACCTCACATGGCACAGTCGATGCCTGCTTTTCTAGCAGAGTCCTTGAAGCTCGACTCTAATTCCGAGGAGGGCGTAGCTGGGAGTGTATGAAATGTGTGACAGAGTCTCGCCTGCCGGGACGAGGGCGCAGGGCTGGAGATGCTGTGACCAGGCAGCGGCACACTTAGTGCCACCCCAGTGCTCGCCCGCTTCGAGAGCCCCCAGCCCGTGAGTTCGTATTTTAAGGAATGGCGCAGATGAAGGTGTTGCATACCGACCATGTTTACACCCAGCAAAAACTCAGGGTATTATTGGAGATCTGAGGAACCATTCATGAATAATGTATAGGTGCAAATACCAGAAACAACCAAATTTTCCATAAGACTCATTACACAAATAGTGTCATATTTATACCAGGAGATCCAATGCAAATATAAAAAACCATGTAGAGCAGTATGTAAATACATGGTAATTTTGTCATAATCTATTGTTAATTTATAGTATTTATAAAGTATCATCCTATACAATTTCAATTTTTATTGTTTAAGAACAAAATTTACTGGGACCAGGGATTTAGCTCAGTGGTTCTGCCGCTTGCCTCACAAGCACAAGGACCTGAGTTCTATCCCCAGTAGCAAAAAAACAAAAAAAAGCAAAAAAAACTTACTTTTATAAACAGGAGCATCCTAAATTTTAAAAAATTTAGTGAAATGTATGTTTTAAGATTCAGAAACTGCTTTTGGAGTGGCATTTTATTTCATTTTTGAGACGGTCCTGTTTGTGCCAGCAGTTCTGCCTCCCGGAGCCCTGCACTAAGTTGGTATCTGCCCTGTTGGTGGGAAGACCCTTCCTCACCCACGCGCAAGATCTGCGGTGAAGGAAGCCTTTGCCCCCCATGCTTCTTCATGGGGCCCCATGTCCCCACCAGCGGTCCCTGCCACCACTCCAGGCTTGGCCTTAAAGCAAGGTGTGTTCTCCCTTGCGCCTTTGTCCTTTTAAAGTAATCTTGGCTAATGTTACAAATTGAGTAAAGGAAGTGGAGAAAGGTGGTACTGTATTAGGAATTCCTTCTACTCTTCCCACTCCCAGAATGGAGGAAGAGGATTAAGAAAAGGGAGCCAACAATTTTTGGTTTGTTTTTAACACTTGCTGAGTGCACTGCAATGTAAGCATTTATTTATTTATTTATTTATTTATTTATTTATTTATTTATATTTTTTGGTACCGGGGATCGAACTCAGGACCTTGTGCTTGCGAGGCAGGCGGCAGCTCCACTGAGCTAAAACCCAAGCCCAGCATTTATTTTTATTTTTTTAACAGCACTTAGGCTGCGCCCCGGGTGCTCCACATGCCCAGCAATACAAGCCTTTAATGTTGGTGATAAACCTGTGAGTTTTAAACTTTCCCCTGCATGATACAGTAGACGGGGGTAGAGAGGTAAATAATCTTTCCAAGGGCGGGGATGTAGCTCAGTGGTTCCACTGCCTCCTTCGCAAGTGCAAGGACCCGAGTTCAATCCCCAGTACAAAACAAAACAAAACAAAAACAATAATCTTTCCAAGTTCACATAGTCAGTGAAGAATTTCTCTGGTTCTAAAGTCAGCATTATTTCCGTTCTGTGGAGAAATTTCCTCAGGCATGGAAGTCACATCTCATATAAACTATGAGTATGGGTTTTCATGTGTGAAAATGAGGTGGATGTATCAAATCACAGGTGGACAGAACAATTTCAACTTCAAATGAAAACACCACATTTAGAAATGTGATGTCTGGCATTTCCAGGATTAGTAAAGTTGCCTGTACCACACTGTCCCCCATAGGTAACCGTTATCAAACTGAACTGCACAGGAAAGAAAAGCCATGCTTTGCAGGCACTGGAGTGGTTCATCTTCGAACACTGAAAAAGTGAAAAACTGAACATATTTTTCCCATAAGAAATACAGGAAAACCAAAGAATTGGTTCTCAGGCCCCAAAATGACATATATAAATTCATTTTCCCAGGACTTTAACAGATTTCACAATGATTTCTTTCTTTGACTCTATCTTGGTTCTCAGTTTTCCGCTTAGCTTTACTGCGGTATCACTAACTTCATTTGGAGCCGTGGTTATGCTATTTCACACAAAGAGAAAAGCGCAGTGAGGGAGCCTGAAGTCCCGCAGCACTGTGTGCATCTGGACGCCTCCCTGTGGTGGGCAGAGCCGCCACACGCCCCACTTGGCCCACGGGGTCTGGCACGTTAGATCCTGGGTTCGACTGTCAAGCAAAGTCTCGAATGCCAGCAGACTTCTTCCAAACTTTGCCGTGGGAGTAGTGGGAAGTTCCAGCTCGGAGCTGTTCCACAACCGAGGCGTCACAGTAAGTGAAGTCCAGAGAGCAGAAAGATGAAGCATAGAATATGAAAGAAAAATATTCATAAGGAATAGGAAAAAATAGAAAAACACTTCCAAAATTTGCTCCAGAAAGACCTACAGGTCCGCAAGGCCGGACAGAGGTGAACGCTGCTTGTTGTCCTGCCTGGCTCCTCAGCCAGGGAGCCCAGAGTCACCGGGAAGATCAGGCGCGCAGGGAAACACAAGCGAGCCCACTCCAGCCCTGCGCCTGCTCCGAAGCCAGGGACCACGGTCCTGCATGGAAAACCTGGGCCACCCACGACATCCGCAGAAACTGCAGTCAGGTCTCCAGTTCCTTTGCCTTAGGTCACGGTAAAAGCGGCCTCCGTGACCAGATCCAGCTGGTACAGAACCAGGCTGCAGAGATCTGAGCAGCTGACCGCACTCACACAAGGACAGGGAGGAGTCCTGGGAGCAGCAGCATGCGTGTCCAGCTGTCTGGGGCTGTCCTTCCCCCGTCACTGCCGGTGGCCGCAGCGCAGTGAAAAGCACATGGCCTTGAACCCCACGCAGCCCCTTCCCAAGAGTGCTGCCATGCGGGGCCCCCGAGGCCAGTGTGCAGTGCCACTTGCGGAGGAAATGCAGGCCTCACCCAGTGAGCGGGAAGTGTGGACCAGAGGCGGCGAACCCGTGGCACATGTGTCACTGTGTTTCTTGTAAGATAAAAGATGCGGATTATGAGTTTTTTCTGCACTAAAACCTGTGTTCGGGTTGAATCGCAGTGTTGCTGCTCTGCGATAAATAAGAGGGTTTGGGCTGTAGCTTGGACCCTCCTCTCTGCTGCTGAAAAGACCTGGCAGCTGTTGTCCAGCGTCGCGGCACTGTGTTATTTTACACAACAGTGTCCCACCAAAAAACCAAGAGTCACGGGAAGATGTAAGGAAATGGGTCCATACACAGGAGGAAAAAGTAACAGAAATATCCAGAAAAAGGCCAAACATCGGACTTTACTAAAGGTTTTTCTCACTACTGGGGACTGAAGCCCAGGCCCTTGCACATGTAGGCAAGCACTGTACCCCTGAGCTGTTCCTTCAGCCCTTTTCTCTTATTTTGGACCACGGATCAAACTTGGGACCCTGCACTTGCAAGGCAGGCGGCGGCACCACTGAGCTAAATCCCGGCCCCTTCATTTTATTTTTGAGATGGTCTCACTGAATTCCCAGGCTGGCCTGAATTTGCAATCCTCCTGCCTCTGCTTCCTGAGTAGCTGGGATTAATAGAGGACAGCCAGCATGCTCAGACAAATATTTAAATATCTGTAAAGAATGGAAGGAAACCACATGCAAAAACTAGAAGAAAGTATGAGAATAATGTCTCATCAGAAAATACCAATAAACAGAAGGAAATGACAAGAACCAAAGGAAATTTTGAATTTGGAAATTACTGTAACTGAAACGAACACAAATGAACAGGTGGGAGAATCACCGACTGGAACGTGGGTCGGCGGGGACTGCGCCAAGGGGCAGAGAAATGGAGAAAAACAACCCGAACCGAGCAGGGGCGGAGGGAAGAGCTGCAGCCGCGCACGCTGGGGGCGCAGACTGGGCCCGGCGCCTCCCGAGGGGGACAGCAAGGTTGCCGCGTGCCCGCACGGGCAGGGACGACGAGGCACCCGGACTTGACGCGGTCGGCCCCAGACAGACAGAC